TCCATCTCGGTCTTCTCTTCACAGCCTCTCCCACCCTGTACTGGACAAAAAAGGAGAGAACGGCTCCCTTTGATGGGTGACAACAACCTCTGTGCCTGTCACCCGCAGTTTTCTTCCTGCGGCCACGACGTTCTACCACGGGACACGGGGGAGACCGCAGGGTCCCAGTGCATGCCACAGTCACACACTTTCCTGAGTCTCTGTGTTAAGTGACTGCACACCGTGCTCAAGGCGGCACGGAACATACATTGAATAGCTGTCATCACCTTTAAGGAATTCTCATAACGTGAGTTAAAGAGCTGTTTTAAAAAATTCCTCCGTAAGTATTTTAAAGGTGTTTCAATTATATAGTCTACAATAAAAGCTTCACTTTCTTTCCATAAGAACAACAACTTTCCAATAAGGACATGTTTTTCAGTTGAAAGCCACATTTAAGCTCTCAGAAATAAGCCCTGGTATTTAAATTACCAAGTGTTTCAGCTACTGAGGTCCACACATGGAGCTGACTGAAACCACAGAACTCTGACAGACCACTCTAGGCTTCTAGAACTTTTGATAACACTTACTTTCATCACTGCTAAGGTGGTGTGTGCCAGGTTTTTCCTCATTTTGTAATCAATAATAATTTTTTTAGGGGTGTATTTTGTATATATGGTTTTCAAATATATTCCTCTCATTTTGTAGGTCGCCTTTTCATTTGCTGTACAGAAACCCTTTAGTTTGATGGAGCCTCACCTGTTGTGTTTACTTACTTGTTTATTTTACTTGTTACTTGTTCTTTTGGTGTCATACTCAAAATAAAAAAGAAAAAGAAAATCCAATCGCAAGGACCAAGGTCAAAGAGCTTTTTCCTTATGTTTTCTTCTAGAATGTAAGTGTTTAATCCACTTTGATCTAATATTTTGGGAATGGTATAAGATAAGGGTCCAGTTTCATTCTTTTGCATGGGGCCAGTTTTCCAAAAGCATTTATTGAAGATTCTATCCCTTCCCTTTTGTGTATTCTTGATGCCTTCGTCCAGGATTAGTTGAACATGCCCAGGCTTATTTCTGGATACTCTATTCTGTTCTGTTGGTCTGTGTGTCTGTTTGTTAGGCTAGTGTGTTCAACTCTAACATCAATTATTTCCTTCTGTCTGCTGGGCTTTGTTCGATTTTGCTTTTCTAGTTCCTTGAGTTGCAAAGCTAGGCAGTTTATTTGAGATCTTTCTTCCTTTTTTATTGCAGGTATTTCTTGCTATAAACTTTCCCCCCAGCACTGCTTCAGCAGCATCCCATTAAGTTTTGGTATGTTATATTTTCATGTCTCAAGGTATTATTTAACTTCTCTTTTAATTTCTTTTTTGGCCCATTGGTTTCTCATGAGTGTATTATTTGATTTCCACGTATTTGTGAAAATTTCCCAGATTTCCTTCTGCCATTCATTTCTATTTTCATTCCACTGTGGTCAGAAAATATATTTGGCATGTTATCAGTCTTCTTAAATTTGTTGACTTATTTTGTGACCTAACATGATCTGTCCTGGAGAATGTTCCATGTGTACTGGAGAAAGATGTGTCATTGGGTGCTGCTGGGTGGAACATTTTGATGGATGCTGTTGTTCAAACCCTCCGCTTCCTTCCTGATTTTCTTTCTGGATGTTTATCCATCATCGGACTGAAATCCCCTATGATCATTGTGTTGTTGTCGGCTTCTTATATCCGAGTGTTCGAATAGGTGCATATGTGTTTACAAGTTTTACCTTCCTGAGAAATTATCATATAATATCCTTCTTTATGTCTTCTGAAGACTTTTGGCCTTCAGGTCCATTTTCTGACGTAAGTGTGGCCACCCCTGCTGCTCTGGTTGCCATTTGCACAGATATTTTTCAAGTCTTTCGCTGTCAGCTGGTATGTCTTTAATGTAAAGTGCGTCTCTTGGAGAAGTATACGGCTGGAGCTTGTTTTTGGACCCATTTGGCCAGTGTGTCTTTTTACTGGGGAGTTTAACCCACTTGCGTCTGAAGAGATTACAGCGGAGGGACCACTACTGCCAATTTGTTGTTTCTGTCTCTCATCCTCTCCTGCCGTCTTCTTTTGTGCTACCGATTTTTCGTAGTAACATGTTTTGATTTTTTCTCATTTTCTTTTGTGTATCTTTTAAAAATTTTATTCATTTATTTATTTATTTTTAGAAAGATGGAAAGGGAAGTAGAGAGAGAGGGAGAGAATCACTGACGTGAGAGAAACACTGACTGGTTGTCTCTCATATGCACTCAACCGTGGTCTGAACCCACAACCCAAGCATGTGCCCTGACCGGGTATTGAACCAGCGATCCTTCGCTTTGCCAGATGATGCCCAACCAACAGAGCCACACTGGTCAGGGCCTTTCCTGTGTATGTTTTATAGGTATTTCCTTCACGGTTACCACTGGGCTTACATAAAACATCTTAAGTTATAATCATCTATATTAAGCTGACAACTTAACTTTAAGCACAAATACTCCATAACCTCTACTTCTCTTCCCAACGTTTTATGCTGTTGTCACAAAATACATATTTTTATATTATGTATCCACATGAACATATTGCCATAGTTACTGCTATACTTTTGTCCTTAATTTCTCTGAATTAACAGTATACAACCCTATTACAGCATTGCAGCAGTCTGTATTCGTCTCTGTGTTTGCCTTTACTGGCAAGATTTGTGTGTTCATGTTTTTTTAATTCCTGTTTGGTGTCTTTTTGTTACTACTTGAAGGGCTCCCTTTAGCATTTCCTGTAAGGCAGGTCTCCTGGTAATGAATTCCTCAGGTTTTGCTTATCTGGGGAAGTGTTCACTCCCTACTCATCTCAGAAGGACAGTTTTGCTGGATATGGCGTCCTTGGTACCATTTTCTTTTAGCATTCTGAATACATCATCCCACTCCCTCTGGCCTGCAGGGTCTTGGGGAGAAAGCCACTGACTTTTACAGAGACCCTCGTGTAAGACGAGTCGCTCTCCCCTTGCTGCTTTCCATATTCTCTCCGAGACTCGACAAGCTGATCACAGTGTGTCTCTGTGTGGACTTCTTTGGGTTCATCCTGGCTGCTGTCTGCCAGATCATTTCCTTGCCCAGACTGAAACTGTAGCTATTACTTCTTTGAGAAACCTCTCTGCTCTACTCTCTCTCCTTCTCTTGGGACCACCTTTATGCATATACTGGTTTGTTTGATGCTACTGCAAAAGCCCCACTGGCTTTCTTCACTTTTTCTTTTTTTTTTCTTTTTGTTCTGAGACCAGATAATTTCAAATGACCTGTCTTTGAGTTCACTGATTCTTCTGCATGATAAAGTCTCCTCTTGAACTCATTCAGCTACTTTTTCAGTTTAATTATTATATTCTTCAGCCCTAAAACTTCTATTTGATTCTTTCTGAAAGTAGGAAATTAACACTGAGCCAGTAAGATTCATTCCTCTGTAGACCTTACCTGAACAGCCCAATTGCCCACTGATGCCCTGTCTCTGGTTCAGGATCCCACCACACTTAACTGTCAGACCTCCTCGGCCTCCTCCGACCTCTGACAGTTCCCCAGTCTTTCCTCATCTTGCATGACGTTGATACTTTTGTCGGTTACTGTGTAGAACGCCCGCATCTGTGGTCAGGGACCTAGGTTTGACTCTTGGCTATGGGATTTACTACCTGTGGAGCCTTTGGCAAGCCAACCCCTCTGGGACTCAAGCTTCCTTATCTGTAAGAAGGGATAGTAACATTGACTGTATGTTTTAAAAATTAAATAAGACAATCTATATTGACATGCCTGGAATATAAGGCCTATAACAAATGCTAAGTTTTTCTCCTTGTCCCTGCCTTTTAACTATTTCTGATAAAATTTTGTGCCACAATGTATTGCCCATATTTTAGTGCCTTCTTTTAGAGATAAAAACATGTATGAGTGAGCCTGAAATGATGTCACCATCATGAATGGCCATGGCTGTGCTGTGTGACAGTCTGTGTCTCCCTGTCTGGATGCCTGCCTGTAAGGGCCGCATCGTCCCCTTTCTGATCTTCAGCCTCAGACATGTGGGGATCCGTCTGTCCACGTGTTTGTCCATCGCCGGTGGACTGAGTCTACAGGCCCTGTGTTGGGGTCTCAGAGGCAGTGACGGCTAACAGGGGGATGGACAAGGAAATGGTTAACTACAATTTGCTGTGAGCAGTTCTGTGGAAGATGTACTTGGGGAATGTAGTTAGGTTGGGGAGGGTGCTGCTATGTCTCAGGGAAGGTCTGCAGAGTGTGCAGAAATTAACCAGATGGAGGAGAAAGGAGAACAAAAGGCACGCAGCTTCGGAAGAACTATTAGAACTACATGCTGAGTAAAAGGAAACTGGCTCTGAAAAAAAAAAACCTCGCACGTTGTACACTTACAGCCTGAGAGTGATTTTGTGCCAATACCTCAGGGACTCAGAAACTTCACCAGGAAATTTCTGGCCTCAGGGCCGTGCTCTGGAGACTGCAGTCGACAGGCTTAAACGATAGGATATTACACTGAGCTTACCTGTCTCGACATCTGTGAACTGAAATAAAACTGAAGGGTAAAATTGCCTGCTTGTTCCCATTTCTGAAGTACAACCGAGGAGGGGTTTCTTGTTTTAAAAAAAAAGCCAGTGGCCATCATAAGTTCCCTTTACTTGGCCCTTTTAACTGAGCTGGCAAGAGAGCCGTGGCGGCCCCCCCAGCCCTCTCCCCTCGCACGGAACTCCGGCACTCGGGCTCCCAGGTCTGAGTTCAACCGACTCCAAAGCCCCAAGCTAACCATGTCAACTTACGGTCTTGGCAAGTGTCACAAGTGTATTGTCATTAAATATTGGAACTGAGGAGAATCCAATACCACACTTTAAAATGAAAAGGTTTCTCTTGTTGGTCCCTGTTCTGCTCTCCTGCCCATCTCCAGTGTTTTTCATCTGGAGAGCAAATAAGCTGAATTCTTCTAGTTTCCTCCACAGAGAAGATTTCCAATTCAAAGCAGTAATATTACATACCGTCAACTGGTGCATCAGGAGGTCCATTAAGAAGGTAATCTTGTTACTGAACAGAACGTCGGTGCAGTTCTCTGAGCAGTTACTGCAGGTGAGGTTGTAAACATTGACTGCACTGCAGAGAGACCTAACAGGAGGAGAAAACGCCATTTATAAAACCTCGGCAGAGCTTCTCGAAACACTTAAAATACAGAAAACAAATAGTGCAAAGAAACAGGCATGGAACAGAGTTTGCTCTAACCAACCATGCCAAACCTTAGGTGCAAGGCCCATCGCTAGAGGTAAAGGGTTGCAAGTTTTATCCAAAGCCCCATGTTCCTTAGTACCTAATTCTTGCCTCTTATTAATTTCTTAGTTGGCGGCAGCAGACAATGGAACACTGTCTTAATAATCTAAGATTGTAATACCCAGGAACTCTGGGGTCTAGAAGTCTTTGAATAATACCCAGAAAAAGGATCTGTCAAGGCTCCAGACGCCAGATCTCCTGGCCCAGGACACAGTGGGTGACAGGGGAGGGGAGCCCCCAGGAGGAGGAGCTCTTTCCCTGGGAGACAGGAACCGCAGAGACCCAGGGTGAGCCCCACAGCAGCTCGGAGGCTGCAAGGACATGGACACCCCGTGCCCTGTAGAAGAGGGACGGCAGAGGGCAACAGCTTAAGTTCAAGTTGATCCAAGAAACATTCTTCTTTTAAGGATTAAAAAGATACATATGCCACTGTTTAAAAACAAAACAAAACTAAAACGCTTGGAACCACGAACTCAAGGGGCAGTCTTCTGGGTGCTCTCAAGACCACGATGAAAAGCCGCACTGCCGAGAGGCATGTCTGGTCACATCCGCTGCTTACGTCCCATGTAACAAGGTTCTGATTTGGGTCCCTTGCAACTGATCCCCTAAGGACAGTAATTCTTCAAGTTGAGCCATGGATCCCCATCATCAATATCACTTGGGAACTTTTTTAGAAAACAAATTCTCAGGCTTCAACCCAGACCTAGTGAACAAAAACTCTGGGGCAGAGTCCAGCCATTTGTGTTGTAACAAATTCTGCAGCTGACTGTGATGGGCCTTCAAGTCTAGAACTCTGCTCTAGAATGGGGTCCCACGGTTTGAGCACTGCTCCTCCCCAAGAGATGCTAGTTGGCGGCGGGCTGAGAGTGGGACCTCAGTGTCCACATGCTTCAAAAGCAGGGCGATTCTGATGTGCGGGAGCTGAGAGGCACAGGTCTGAGAAACACCATGGGAGTATTCGCTCACTCAGCAAACAACTAAGTGCTGGGGCTTTCCAGGCCCCGTGGGAGGCGCACAGGGCAGACAAGCTCTCTGATGCTCTGCAGGGAGAAACGGGAAAGGGGGCCCTGTTGTCCTTGTAACCTCCTGTTTGTCTGTACAGCTGCAGCTCGTTCACCTGGTTAACAGCTTCCTGAAAACTGGGCACCACTGACTGTAATGCTTCAGAGTAGAGACAGCGGAATGAAGGTCTGCAGTGGGTGTGATGGGCCAGGAAGCCGGCGAGGGCACAGCCCACACGAAGGGCGCAGGCAAGCTGGCGCCTCTCGGGCTGCACTGCGGGAGGGCCGTCTTGGGGACTCAGGGACACGGGAGCCGACAGTGTGAGCCAAGGCCACACACTCCTGCACCGAACACATCACGCTTCTTCCTGAGGATACATTTCTCAGGATGATAATTTGGGTCAAAGAATATGAGCACTTTAAAGATGTTTGACAGACATTGCCAAATTCAAATTGTTCTCCAGAAGAAAATGCTTTAACCAACTTGTACTCCCAGAAAAAGTTTCTCTGCTTTTGGCAATAATGGATCTTTACCAATTTGACAGTTAAAAATGGTATTGTTAAAGGCTGCATTTCTTTTATTATTAGTATGATTAAAGATTATTTTATATGCTTATTTGCCATGTGTATTTACACTTTCTTGAATTATCACTACAAACCTTTTACTCACTTTTCCATTGTTTCTCTATTCTTACTCATTGATTTATAAGGTTCTTTATTGATAACACATATGTTAACTTTTGATTACCACGTTGCAAGTAAATTTTCCAGTTTGTTGTTTATCTAAATTTTTTTGTCATAAAGACAGTTTTCCCTTTTATCACAAAATCTGTCAAACTTTTCCTTTAGCACATCTGGATTTTCTTTCAAAGTTGGAAGGACCTTCCCACTTCAAGATTATAAAAATATTCTTTTAAGTGTATTTCTAATATTTTAATAGATTTTACATTTAAATCCTCAATATAAAATTGATGGTAGGATAAGGTACAAGATAAGGATTTACTTTACTTTTTTTTCAAAGTTAGCATTTATACTTGTCTTTTTGTTATTTATTCCTGTTCTCTATTTTAAAATTTTTATTGGAGGTTTTCACCTTTTCCTTAATGATTTACAAAATTCTCTCATTATCAGTAACAGAGGGTTAATATATGTTCTTAATATTTGTTGTCAGTTTACCTAATGCCTTTCATTTTGGTTACATTATTTTTAAGGTATTTTTTATGTATGGAAGCTACACAATTTTATGTAGCCTAACAATTGTCTTCTTTGGAATTTTATGTTTTCTTCTCCTCCTTTTATTCTTTAAAACCCTCTTCATTACGAGATGTGCTAACCGTACATTTGTACCCAGCCCTTTGTATCTGTTTTTTCTTGAATTAAATCACTGTGTGCTGTAATTTTATGGTTTTTATAATTAAGTATCAAGTCTTTTAGAATTTATTTTCGTGTGAGGCAGAAGCCTAAATTTATTCCCCAATTCAAAGATACTACTGAATAATCCACCCTTTCTACTGGTTTGAAAAGCTACCTTTATCGTATAGGATGTACTCCCTGGTTTCCTAGTCTAAGTGATAATTTTGTCAAGCACTGTACCAATAGCACATTATTTGTGTATTGTAGCTTTAGCGTAGAATTAATATGTGAAATTGTAGGTCCCTAAAGGCCTCAGACAGAAGGGTACTACATCAGAATGACACGGGGAACCTTACAAGTTTGTAATTTTATCTTATTTTCCCTTTGGTTTTTACCTATACCTTTATGGCCTTGATTTTTAACTTCTGTTTCTCTGTTTCATTCAATACAATCCCTACAACGTGTCTAACATCTTTTGTGGAATGGCACGAGGCATAAAGAAACATGCACACAGCCCTGGCTGGTGTGGCTCCGTGGAGTGAGTGCCGGCCTGCAAACCAAGGGGTCGCTGGTTTGGTTCCCAGTCAGGGCACGTGCCTGGGTTGCAGGCTGGGCCCCCACTGGGAGGCACACATGAGGCAACCACACATTGGTGTTTCTCGCTCCGTTCCCCTCTCTAAAAGTAAATAAATACCACTTAAAAAAAAAGAAAGATCCGCATAAAAAAGCAGACGGCACATGACGTGGGACTTCATCCTTGTGCCCCCTGCACTTTTGCACGACAGCAGTGCCACGTGCGTCTCTGCAGTCTCGAGCTCACAAACGCTGCCAGGAAACTTGCGCAGAGAAACTGCTTTCTGATGAGAAGAGAACAAGGGGGCAGGGGCAAAAAAACTCCGGGTCAGCTAACGCATCCACTCAGCAAAACCTGTCTGAAAGGCGAGCTCTGTCTGAGGAGCACCTGTCTCAGAAGGAGCACTTCTTCCGCCCAGCCTGGGTGGTCTGCCCAACCGCCCTCCCTGTAACTTAAGACTCGAATGACTGGAAGCACTTTTTACAACATCAAACACAAAGCCCAGCGTTTAAAACTGTCTTCTCAGAAGACGCTACAATCCTCCTGTCCACTCTGTCAGAACTGCACTGGGACTGGGCTGCAGGAAAGGCTTTCTACCCCGAGGAATGGTGACGCCAGGACTGAGCCTTAGGTCAGGCTTCTCACTGAACATGCTCCCTCTGAAAAACAGAGGTCAGAAAACGCAGCATAAAAGTGGGTATTTTGGTAATAAGACCAGGAACTTATTTACATGTGAAATGACTGTAACAAAATGCAAGTGTGGAGCACCTCAGACAGGCAGACTAGTACCTAAGATGTTATAAAAAAGTCCAAGAGAAAAGCCCCAGGGGGGCTGCATCCTCAGAGGACTGACTCTAACTCAGTTACGTGCACAGTTCCTGCCCTAATGCCGTTTGCAGTCCTTAAGACTTCTCAGGAAACACTTCTGCCCTGAATCCTCCGTCTCACACTGGTGTCAAGACAGCAGATACTTTAAAGCAACTGCCTTGGGAATTAAACACCAGGGCCCCCAACATGTTATAACTGACCAAGCACCTTTAGTTTATTTTACATTATGCATTTAATAAATGGCATACAGTTTATTTGCATTATCATTCTGAAGTTATGCTTTGCCTTTGCAAAGCTTCAAACTAATTTCTATAGATATTACTTAAAAGGTTTTTCTGACATTGAGAGCTGCTAGCTGCAGTGAGAATTCTGATGCCCAAACTGGACCAGTGGTCCCCCAGGGAGGGGCCTGTGGTGCAGGGCTGCCCTGCAGGAGCCTCCGAAAGCCGAGCCTCCTGTGAAAACACTGAAAAGGCTATTCTGTTACACCACTACCCTCAGTGACTTCGGGCAAAGTCCCGACTGATCTGTCCTTTGTGGAGCCCTGGCTGTGAAGCAGAGCTGGCTGTGCACGGGGATGTCTGAGGGGGCAGAACATAGAAGAACGTGCCACTGTGGAGCATATTAACACTTTAATTCACCAGATCTCCCACTATCCAACTTCTTAAGCACTCGTTAGACTAAGCAGAGTAGGAAACCCACCTTTACTTAAAAATAAAATATCTTGCCCTGGCTGGCGTAGCTCAGTGAATTGAGCACGAGCCTGGGAAGCAAAGGGTTGCCAGTTCGATTCTCAGTCAGGGCACATGCCTCGGTTGCAGCCAGGTGCCCAATGGGGGGCATGAGAGGCAACCACACATTGATGTTTCTCTTCCTCTCCCCTTCCCCTCTAAAGATAAATGAATAAAATGTTAAAAAAAATAAAATATCTGATAAGTTCATGATTCAAAATCAGGAAGGAGTAAGGAATTTCTTATCTTTCAACTTTATAGCTCTCTCTCTGTTTTCTTTGATACCAAGAATACAGGTCCTTAAGAGCATCGAGAATGACGGAAGTAAAATTTCCAAAAGTACTCATTTGCTTTATGCTACATTACAACACAAAACAGTTTCTGAGTAACAAAATCATCACCAATCACAATAACTGAAAAGTGTTAAAAATATTTTGGCAAATCCATACCCACTTCTCACCCCCAATGAGGCATCCACACTGCCTCCAGGTGTCGTCACATTATACCAGTCTCCCTCTCAGTCTTCAGTTCTGTGCTATAAACGCATATTGAATGCTCAGCCCCAATCCCTGTGCTGATGTACCTGCAGTCCCTGACGGAAGCGTGCTCTCCACGGGACCCCTTAGGAACGTCATGTGGCAACGACTTCCCCTGAGTTCTTGCGTGCTGATAACCACGTGCCTATTAGGAAGGAAGGTCGCTTCTGCGGGACATTGAACCATCAGCTCCCCAGACTCCCCCGGGCAGGCCCTTTCTAGTCATCTCCTCTCCCAGTGCTGGACAGTCATGTATCTGTTTTCCATTAAAAAGAGACTTTAGTCTTGCCTTTCTTAGAATGGCTTTTTCCACTTAGCATAGTACCATCTGAGGTCCATCCTTTTGATAACTGATTATATTTCGTATCACCTCACACCACATCCTATCACTGCATGGGTACTTTCTATGCTTGTGGACTGCTATTCGTTCGCCAGCTGAAGACTACTAGGGGGTCTCCAGTCTGGGGCAAGTAAGAACAAAGCGGCTGCAAACCAGCACTTCCAGGTTCCGGAGAGAACACAGCTTTTAACTTCTCTGCGGTAACCGGGCGGGACTAGGACTGCAGAGCCGTCTAGTAAGCGTATGCGTAACTTTATGAGGCATCGCCAGACCTTTCCCCAGGGGCTGTACCAGTCTGCACTCCCAGCACTTGCTCTGCAGGCTCTCAGGACCTGGCAGCTTCAGTTTGGCGCTGTAAGCGATGTTAATAGGTATGATGAAGTATCTTACTCTAGTTTTAATTTCTATCTCCTAGCGATGCTGAGATCTCTTCATATGCTTATTCACCATCCGCATCTTCGTTGGTGAAACATCTATTCAAGTCTTTTGCACATTTATTAACTTTTACTCTGTGATGTACCCAGAGCACCCGAACAGTTCCTGGCCCAGGAAGTGAAAAATACGCACTGACTGGCAGAATGAATGGATACAATAGTCTCTTCCTCACCTGAAACAGGTAAAGAAATGACAGTACCCAACTCAGAAAATAGTGGAAATTTTATGAGTTTACATTTTAAAACAAGTTAAATCAGCTCTCACTTGCAAACAGGAAGGACAGTATTCGATCCCTTAGCTCAGCTCCACAGAAAGTAGGACGGCTCCGGAATGTATCACCGGACCCGCGACTGTCGAGTTCCAACACCGCACGGTGGGCCCACAGACTGCTCACAGGAACAGTGTCACCTGGTCAGGTTTACGAACCTACTTGCTGCCACAGGGGACAGAGATTCCCAGTGGAGTCTCATCTGAACAGTGGTCAGTGGGTCTGCTGCACCACACAGATTCTGGATGTGTAATATTGATCAGAAAAAAGTGTAGTGAATAAAAGCAGAGAAAAACAGTATTGGCAAGAAGTTCTACATGCAGTCTTTCACGTATGGAAATAAACCTCTTATTTTCTTGCTAAAATTAGAAGATGTTAAAGAAGCACAATTAGATAAACAACTCTTGGTTAGCAAGAAACTGCTTTCTCAGCAAGAAACCCGTGGACAGAAGAATGACACAGGGGATTGAACAAGGCAAAGATTACTTAGTTTTGACATTTCTGTGACTACAGAGGTGGACTTGGGACAGAATTTGGCTTTGGCAGTGGACAGTGAGACATCTGGGTCGGTGCGTGCTACGTGTGAAGGGGATACTTTCTCCCACCGGCGCTGTGACGGCTGGTGTGAGACCACACTGCCTGGCCCACAGGCCCCTGGATGCGGTGACGCGGCCTGACCAACCCCCTCCCCAGTGGGGGTGTCGGCGATGTGCCCCCTGCACTGCAGTCCTCATCACACTCAGCCTGACAGTCCCAGGTGGCGATCACACTGCACATCACGTTCTATCATGAGACACTTTAATAACGCCAAGACAAATTTTTAAATTAAAGTATTTCCCTCATTATAAGGACCCCTTGGAGAAATCTTTAACCAGGTGAATTATTGCAAGGGTTTTTGTCTAATTGGTGAATCTGTTACAATGCAGAACAGGCAACTGAATTATTCCGCAGAGACACATTCTACCTTCAGATGTGAAATCACATATATGTTAAGTACCAACCTAATTAGACTTCCAGCATTTCCCAAAATTAACCTCCTACTGAAAAGATGTTACATTTCAAAGATTACAATATATTTTAAAATGTAGGGGACACGAAATGAAAACATTAATTTTAAAGTCCAGTGTCACACTGCATTCTGTCTGGTAACAAGACAGCGAGAGCACGTGTTTAGGTCTGGTCTGAAGGAGAATCTGGGGATGAGTTTAAATTCACCACAAAACACGCGGGCTCCGGGGAAGACGCAGGTGGCTCGCCGTGTTCGATGGCAGATTAAAGTCGACACGACTAATTTCTTTACTTTAATCTTATTAGCAGTGCGACAGCTGCCCACTGTAACTATCTCTGTGCCGCCTTGTGAGGCATAAACAAAACGCCGCCATAAGTCAAGTGGGGAAGAGTATTTATCAGTCACTACGGCTAATTAGCTTATAAAGCCGTTTTTTACTTTTACTGTGTAGAAGGATATTCTTCACTTTCCATAAACTTTGATCTGAAAATAGATATTTAGAACTATATTAAGATAGCCCTGCCTGGGAATAAGGAACTGCTGACTAATAATGGGTTCGCCCAGTGCCACTTCACGAACGCACACCGAGGGCCGTGACGCAGCGGTCACACGAGGTGCACACGGCTTCCACTCCGCACCGTCCCCTCCCTGAACTTTCTGTCTCACACGCGGGGAGCTCCAAGTGGTTTGAGACCCGCACAGTGGCACCGCCAGGTGGACGTGACACCCCGGACTGTGGAGGAGACACACCCAGGTGCCAGGGCAGCTGCCCCAACTGTTCCAGCTGGGAAGCGGCGCATGGAAACGAGGCCACCTTTGTCTGACACCAGAGCTGGTGCTACTTCTATTTTACAGAAATGTGTCCCAGAAAAAAAGTGACATACTTTTGGACTTTTTTTTTTACCTGATGACAGAGAGCACTCTGCAGTTAAAGGCCCAGCTACTTGGCTGGGACACAGCCGACAGCGGTCTGGCCTTAGAGTGCTCTTCCTGCGTGTGAGGGACCTCCAACTGCACACTCGGGCCCTTGTGACCAGGCCCACTCACCTCTGTGTTGCACGCAGCACAGAAAGTCAGCTTTCTCTTACTGCTGTTCCTTTGGGGTCCCTTTCTGTAAGCCCTTAGACTGCCCTGCAGTTGATCAGCTCTTCTTGGTTTAGGATTAGAGAACACTGCAGACCGAAGAGATTTCCTCCTCAAGGCTTTTGAGGCTCAATTTGCACTTTGTAAGTGAGGGTGAGCACTCATACTCTCCATCAGGGGTCTGCCCCCTGGTGGGGGGGGCATAGGCTTCTGCTATTCAAGCCTGAACACGCAGTTTTTCTTGTGGTTTCCCATATGGAAACCGGGGCAGAAAGGACTCGTAAGTGTAACATGAAAGACAAACTAAAAAACTATACGTACTTGGGAGGAATTCGTGGAACTGTGTTTGCATTTGTGGCTGGGGCTGCTCCTTGAAGGACGTGTTCAAGGGCTGTCAGTCCACCTGCAACCTGAAATGCGATCTGATCAGCCACATTCTAGAAAAAAAAATACAAACAGAAATTAGCTCAATTTCCCAAGCATAAAATTATAACCAAATGAAATGTGTAGCCACAGTGGGGCACATTCTGCTGGTTCCATTACTCTACAAATTCCTAGGAAGGCTTCCTAGGACTGTAGGTTGAAGTGGCGATCACAGAAGACATGACTGCGGTCCCCCACAAAGCCGAACATGTGAGGGTGAGGCCAACAAGCAGATGGAAACAGCATTTTACACAGAAATTTTTAGCAGCACTTTGAAAAACCAGATCAGTCTGTAATAGTCATTATCACCTAACGAGACAAACGGACTTCCACAAAGAGTTCCTCTCCTAGGGTTTTTCTTTGGAGACATAAGGCAATCTAATACTAACCATTTAAGCAACACCTTTTACTCTTTTACCACGTCAGTTATTTTAGGAAGAGTATTACACCATTTTAGACCTGGACCTCTGGTTATCTCTGTCCATGTTCTGAACTGCTTACAGCTCCTGTGGGAAGAAATTTCCCCAAGTCCATGGCATCCCTCTGACATGCGGAAGGCAAGCATGGTTCTGGGGTGCACTGTATCCAGGTTTAGGCGTGCAGAGTGTCAGTGCATCACACACATGCAAAGTAGGACAGCAACCTCTTACGGGCTGAGTTGGGTCCCCTCCCAAATTCTTATGCTGAAGTCCCAACCCTTAGTCCCTCAGAACTAAGTGCATCTGAGGATAAAGTCTTCAAAGGGGCGATTAACTAAAAACGAGGCTGTTTGGCAGATCCTAATCCAACAGGCCTGGTGTTCTCACAGGGGACAGAGGACACACCAGGGAGGCACGCGCACGGAGATGGTGGCCACTTGTACGCCAAGCAGAGGCTCCAGGAAAGAGCAAAGCTGCTGCCACCTTCGCTTTGGTTGTCCAGCCTCCAGACCTGCGAGAAAATGGGGTCTTGCTGTTTATGGCACCGGGTTTTGACAGGGAGTCCTGGCTGATGAACACACAAACCCTCTACTACGACAGCACCTTGGAATTCTTCCAACAGCACCTATGTTCATCAGGCCTTGAAGTCCCCGCGAAGCACCGAGGTGATCTTGGGAGGAGATGGGAGTTTCAGCCAGACTCTGTCAACCACGTGTGCCTCAGTGCTCTCGTGTTCTCAGGACGGTGCTGGGGGGTCACATGGGGTCTCCGATCTCTGCGTGGCCCGCAGCTGGCGTTCGGGAGCGTCCCAGCCCAGCCATTCAACTCCCCACTTTGTGCGCAACAAAATGTAGTTGGGGCTATAAAATGTTTGTTGTGGATCCTATACAGGAACTCACACTTCCAGGGTTAAAAATTAATAATCTGTTCTATTATTGGAAAAAGTTTCTCGGCTATAAAACTAGCCATCAGAAAAATGAAAAACCTGGATGTGTTCAGCAATTTATTTAAAACCACAATGCTGTTACCATTATTTCTTCTTATGCTGGGACGTCAACATACTACTAGAAAGTAACTCCCGTGTTAGCCTGAAGCAAACACAGAGAAAATAGCACCGATCCCCAGTGTGCAGCCGGATGAGCTGCGGCCCTCGGAGACCCCTGGAACGACTCCCGTAAAGGAAGCTTGGCTTCATGCCCCGCACCACCCACCCCCCTCTTTCCCACAGGGGCTGGCTGCCCCGACTTTGAAAGGCACGGAATCCCTTGGCCCTCCTCTCACGTCTGGGTCACAGTATCGTCTGCAGTGTCTACGCTTCTTGCTCAGTGGATAGGCCCTCGGTCCACCCGTGTGGCTGCCTGCACCAGCGCTTCCTCATCCTCCTTGTCAGTTCGGTCTGCCGCCCACCCCTCCCCAGTGTTCCACTGCTGACTGACGCTTGGGCTGTTTCCACCCGGAAGCTGCAGTCAGTGCTGCTGTGAACACTTCCGAACACGTCTTCAGGCCCCTGTGGTACACCAGGGTTAGGGACATGCTTAAGAGCGGAACGACGGGGCCAGAGAGTGTGCACAGCTGTTGGCTCCGGCCAAGCAGCTCCCCCAAGTCCGGAAGCCACCTGTGTAGATGCTGCCGTGCAGCGACAATGTCAGGCATTCCAGACTCACACCAAAACGTGGTTTCACCAGTATTCTTTTTACCTGCAGTCATTCGAATGGGTGTGTACTAGCATTTTGTTAAGGTTTTTACTGCCTTTTCCTGATAATCAATGGGAATGAACACAATATGATTATTGCCTATTTTTCAAATTGCACTATACTTTCCAGTTAGAAGAAGGGCTGAGATCTTAAGTATACCACTCAATTCCGTGTGATAAACGACGGTCAGAACCCCCCTCTCGTCTCCTGGGAAGCTCTCTCAGACCCCTGCAGCCAGTGCTCCTTCCTGCAGCCAGGGGTCCGATTCATCACACCCCAGGTGGGCGTTTGCTGCAGAGTCTGTGTCTGTAAGCACAGAGAGGGGCAGACGAGGGACACAACAACGGGATGAACCAACGACCAAATTCCTCAGAGCACAGCACCACCCAGAGAGGTGTGGCAGGTGAGCCGAGAGAGGGGCCAGCCCGAGAGCAGGACCAGGAGAAACAGCTCCCGCTGGGCCCCGCTCTCTGCACACGAGGGCGGGGGACCAGGCTCCTCATCCTGCGAGTGCTTCACCTCGGGGCAGAACGGGGAAGTCAAGTGGGCTCGGCGATCAGTTATCCAAACGTTAAACCACGTTCTTAAGCATGTGGCTTTCAAGAGTCTACCCGCACACAAAAAAGGACGTCACTGCACCCAACAATCAGGCAGACCGGCAGCGGAGAGCCTGTCACTTCCTCCTCCTGCCGAGCCCTTCCACAGGCATCTCACGCCGACCCCCTGGTCCTTACCCCTGGTTGCTTGTCTCTGTAGACGCCTGGACTTCTTATGCTCTGTGAGTCTGGAAGCTCCCCAAACACATCGTCGTGTGCTTGTCCCCACTGCTACAAATGACTAGAAAAAAGTCAGTCCACTAAAAATGCTTAACTGTAATTATTCTCTCCATCCACACCGCCATCTCTTCAGCATGTAACGTTCAAATGCTCCCTCTCGGCCATGTAAGACCCCAACAGCTGCGTTTCCACGAAGCCCTTCCTGATCCTCTCACCCCCAGTCAGCGGCTCTGCATCTCACCGTGTGTGCTCCGGACCCACCTGTGTCGGCGCACCGCACGGGCGCACTACACCAGCGACACCTTGCTCGACGAGTGGAACCACCTCCCTGGAAAGACGAGCTTTCCTTTCGCTCTTTACCCCCTTTCCAAATACTCCACATTCAGGCATGTGAAACGGGAACTCCCATAAAGAGCTTTATCATTCTCCTCTGAGTGAGGAAAAAACACCTCCAATGACAAAATGTGTGGCTTCACGCCTGGACCTGGACCTGGCAGAACACCCTCCCTGCAGCTCTGCCCTCCTGTGCCCTCCACCCAGGTGAGACTGACAACTGGCAAACAGGGTCAGCAGCCCCATCCCAATAACCCAGCTCAGCTGAAGGCCAGCACAGGACGACAGCTTCCGTGTGAATTACACGGCCTGGGAAGCCATTCAGTTATTAACCGGAGTAACCGTTATTACCTCTCCCAGCCCAAAGGGAGGCAGCCGTTAATCTTTGGCAGCCTGCAAAGGCTGGTGGCCTTTGTACTTGACTTCCCTGCAGACAGCAATTATTGTCTCTGTGATCAGGGAGGAAGGCCTTCCGAGCCTTTTAGGCAGAGGTGGCAGATGGGGAAACCGTTTGTGTGTTCATTAGCAGGAGAGGCAAGATCTGTTCTGAGCATCTGGCGGTACCTTAAGACCTGTTTAGAGATAATACAAGTAGGTTTTAGCGAGTTCATAAACTCAGAACCTGGTCCCCTAATTTACAGAGATGAGATGATCCAAGAGTGCATTTTGGTTACGGCTTGGTTTTCCCATGTGGAGAACTGTCCTGACACTCACAGGACAAGCGCACAAATCTACTACCTCCACGGGCTGTTAGCTTCAGAGCAGCAAGCACAAAAGGCTGAGTTCCTTGTCCTGTTGCAGGGCTTTCCCCTTCTGGGCCGGCTGCCGACTGTCAGATCCCAGGGAAATGTGGGCTCAGCCTGTAAGCCGTAGATACTCACGCTGGAAAGGACTCAGGTTGTGGGATGAAGACTGTGGCGAGAAAACTGCAAATCTGTGGGAATGTGGTGCCCAAAAGACTAAAAAGCAACTCCCCCCACCCCTGCCCCATTTGCAGGCAAAGGTAAGAAGGTCACTGGGGCTGAGGGAGGCCAGTCAGGCATCTCAAGAGGACAGGACAACCCCTTTGTGATGCTAATCGGAACAGGGCCCTTGCAAGGCGCTCCTCCAGGGACCTGCCCTGTGCCCTCTGGACCTGTTTGGACCGGGAGGAGGTGGGGGAGGGGGCAGTGCTGCAGGACAAGAGACCCGAGTGCTCCGTTTTCTCTCCTTTCGCCCTTCTGCAACAGAGACCCATGAGTGTGCGGGGTTTGCTCCTGCAACGTGGCAGAAACCACGGCAAAGTCACGTCCATCTCCCCTACCCTCGGGCTCCTTGGAGCTGCGTGGTGGCAGGCCAGGCCCAGCGCTGGGGCAGAGGCTGAGGCTGAGATGAGACAGAGACAGAGAGACAGACACAGAGGCAGAGCTGCAGGAGGCAGAAGGAGCGCACCTGGAGCTGCATGTGCGCTGGGGGGGGGGGGGGGCCTGCGACAGTTCCTCAGGGCACCACCACGGCTGTAACAAGGACGTTTCCATCAAAGTACAAGACAAAAAACCCACCCAGGAGGTTCCTGGACTCCTTTGTCCGTCCCCTTCCCCCTTGCAGGCTGCCTGTGGGGCGAGGGCAGGCCTGAGGGGTCCCACACAGCAACTCCCTTTCCCCACTCATTCCTATATCCTAAGTGTCCTGCAGATTTTAAAGTTGGGAAGCAAAAAACCTCGGGGGGACCGTGAGACCCCGTGGAATCCACTTTGGGCAAGTTGGTGCTGTGGCCGCAGGCCAGTACCATGGACAGACGCCCTTGGGTCCA